CAGAAAAATGAAATTAATGAATAGACAAGGTTCTCGCAGTTAAAATAACATTACAGCTTTAGGTAGACTTAAAACCTCTTGTATTGTGACTAGCTATGAACCATAAATCATAATTTGCAAGATGAGAAAACAACTATTGATATGCAGAGTAGCTTGAGGAGGCGAAAAAATGCACATTTTGTACTCATAATTAAGACTGTTAAAAATATTAACTGAAAACCTACCTCTTCATCTATTCTCTTCCACGTTCCTGACATGTCCATGATCGATTTAGAGCAAATTGGGCAGCAGTACCTGAAGCCACCATCAATGAAGCTCGGAAATTATTACATTTACAGATTCTTTTAATTAATAATAATAATAATAATAATAATAATAATAATAATAACAGAAAAGGAATCTCGAAGTATATTGCAAGTAAATTGATAGATTACTTGTCACGCTTTATCATCTCATGGTAACATTCACAATGCATGGTGTGTCCACATTTCATAACAGTCGTGTCTTTCAAAGAGTCAAACAGATACTGTAAGTACAAAAAATGGGGCAGCATTACAATCTGATTACTCAAGATTAACAGTAAAGAACTTGAAAAGGGAAATCAAGGAAACCTCGTAACATATAGGACAGTGATGTCGCATGGAGTTTTCTACACACGAATGATTGTTACGCAAAGCAACTGAATAACAAGAGCCTGCATGATTAGCTAAAAATATAAGAAGAAATTCAAGTGTAGTGATCAACTTAGAGAAGGCGTTAAAATCCAGTAAGTTCCAAAGACTCATTATATTTTGTTGATCCTCATAAATTTACCGCAGAGACGAGAATTTCAACTTGAAAATGAGTTGAAAGACAAAGTAGCAATAAAGTAATGCCAAAGAGCAGTTGCATACCACACTTCTTGCAATGGAAGAAGTTCTCAACGCCGCCAACTCTAAACGATGAATCAGAAGTCAGATCAAATTAGTTACAGAATAGAGCAAGTTTGCCAAAGCTTAAAAAGTTTAATTATACGTAAATAAGCAAATTTTAAAAGTCTATTATTTTTAATTTCGCTCAGAATTTGAAATTAGTAACTTTTTTGCTTAGATGAAGCGAGAAAAAAATCCGAACACGTGCAGAAACAACAAATAAATTTTTAGTTATTTTAAAGCTTGGCCAAACATCAGCACAGCGTAAGAAATGGTGCATAAAATAAGCATTTCTTATCTGATCACTAACCTGCAGATCCCACAATCATCACAATGAAACTGTCCTTTGTCAAGCTGCAGCAAGCATAGATTAGCAATGTTTAAGAATTTAGAAGTGACCCTAATAAATGAAATCCAATTTAACTCAAAACAGCACAACCATAATCAATAGAGAACAAATCATAGAAATGAGCTATATTAGCTAGGTAGAAAGAAAAATATCTTAATTACATCATCATCAAAGAATATGCACACGTCACAGAAGTATTCTCCCATATTGACACCGCAATTTGTACAAACACGAGCAACCTGGACCAAAGAGTGATCATTTTTATGAAAAAATCAAGTATTGATAGAAACAGAACAAAAGGGGCTTATAACTCGAGGTGAGAGAACATACAGGCTGCTCCGTGTCACAAACTGAGCAGATAACCTGCAAAAATAGTTAGTGTGGCCATCCATGTTAACAAGACTTTAATGACATACTAAATCAAATACAAATGAGCAAAGACCAGAGATCTGAAAAACATACATGTTTTACATCATACCGCACCAATTCATGCCGATCAAAAATGTTTCGCAACAAACTCTGTTG